GAACACAGAACACACAGCTCTTAGTTATTTCTGAATTTTGATCATATCTTCACGAACCCTCAGTTCTTGGGCACAGCTCTTACATGGTGGCTCAGAGCAGGTGCTGGTTCAGACATCACTGGGATGCTGATGTGAAAGGGAGGTGGGAGCCCAGGGAAGACACCAGAATGCCAGAGGTTTGGGTCTGCCCTGACCTCTGAGAATTCTTTACCCACAATTCTTACTTTCCCATCCCCAAGACTACACAGTGGAGAACCTCATCCGGATGGGCGTGGCTGGCTTGGTCCTGGTGGTGCTCGGGGTGCTGCTGTTTCAGGCTCGAAACGACACCAGAGGGACCCTCAATGCAGCGAGGATGTGAACACAGAGGCAGCAATGCACCGTTCAGAGTGGGGGAGCCTTGGAGCCCATCTGATGACCCCAGGAGGTGCTGAAAGAGAATATGGACGATAGTTGAGGAAACTGTCTGCAGAGAACGTCCAGGGAAGAAGATGTGGTAGGCGAACATGCAAGAGAATGTGGGCCATGTCCCTGCAGAGGACGCCCCCTCCATCCAGCTGGGGTGCTCTACCTCCCTCCCTGTCCTCGCTCACTCTCCTTCACTGCCCTTCTGTTCTCACCCTGTGATGTGAGGGTCTGTCCCACATGGCTGGTTTGGGTTCACATCTGTACATGCCTTCATGCTGGGCCACATCCATCCCAACAAAATGTGGTATCTTCATAACCCTGGGGTTGTCTTTTTATTTTGTTTTTCCTTTTTTAACTATGTTTTTATTGATTTTAGAGAGAGAGGAAGGGAGAGGGATAGAGAGATACAAACACTGAGGAGAGAAAAACATCAGCTGCCTCCTGCACGCCCCCTTTTGGGAATGGAGCCCACACCCAGGCATGTGCCCTGACCAGGATTCAAACCAGTGACCTCCTGGTTCATAGGTCGATGTTCAACCACTGAGTCACACTGGCTGACTTGTGGGATTATTTTTAAACCAAGAAGAACAACATAAATGAACAAAAAAAGTCCTGATACCTGCTTCATGTGGTCCAGCCCATTGCACATCTCCACCCTCCTACCACCTCCATGTGGCTTCTTTGTATCCTTACCTGGGACCTTCTGTTCACCTAGATTCCAGGTGATTCTGAATGCTGGTTGCACTACAGTTTAGTTGTGATTTCACTGTGGCCATGGGAGGATTTCAGTACTTCCTTTAGTTCCTCTGCTATCTTGGGCAGACGTCATCATATTTTGATAATAAATAAGTAAATTTGAATTGTTGCCATCATTTTATTCAAGTAATGCATAAGGTTCGTTTTAAGTAGCTTTTTAAAGTATTTCCAGAACAGTTTCTTTTTTAATTGTAATGATTTATTTTTAAGAATGGGTCCCCTTGGTATAACAAGATTTTAAGAATCATGATAACATCAACTAATGTTTTTGAGTGCTTATGGTGTGACAGGCACTGTTCTAAATGTATTACCTCTATTAACTCACTCAGTCTACACAACAATGAGATCAGATTACATAGATATAGATTTTAAATTGACTCAGATTTATTTGTTTTGTACATTTACATCAGTTTAGAAGTTATGCATGCATTTCCAATAGGAATAGTTACCACCATTGTTAATATTGGTAAATGGGTCTGTATCCAAATCAGTAGCTGCAAAACATCCGATCCACCAGGAGCAATAGGGTCACTGTGCCCCAGTGTTTCTAACAAAAGGTCACTGCTAAAGCCAGCTGCATTGAAAGGCTCAACACCAGACCTGGCCACAGCGTTAGAAGAAGATCGCCTGAGAAAGCTGTCAGATGTACATAGATCTGACCCCTTGAAGAATCACCTCCAAATAGACCAATTTCCCCAAAAGGATCATCCTTGAAAGGATCACTGCCAACAAGAAAATCAAATTGGAGACAAATCCAAGTCTGTATCTGCACCTGGATCTGCCAGTGACCTTGATTCTACAGTCAAAGGATCTTCTTTAGAGTGTCTGTCACTGTTACATTCAGAACAAATTTTTCATTGGCAGCTGTGGTCGCCACTCTATTCCCATCAGCCATCACTCCATTCCCATCAGCCGTCCTTCCATTCCCATCAGGCATCACTCCATTCCCATCATTCACCCCTCCATTCCCATCAGCCATCCCTTCATTCCCATCAGTCCCCACTCCTTCCCCATCAGTCACACCAGGAGGCAGCATGTCAGGAGCAGTTCTTGCTCAGACTCCAGGCTGCTCTGGCCTTCGGTGTGCATGCCGGTTGGCTGGTTCTCTGCTGCCTGCGCTGAGGCTGCAATAATCTGTACCACCTTTTACAAGGATGCTGTGGGGCTGCTGCTCCAATTTCCTTTTTAAAAAATGTATCTTTATTGTTGAAAGTATTACAGATGTCCCCTTTTTTCTCCACTGACCCTCTCCACTCTACACCTGCCCTTCCCAGGCCTTCACCACACTATTGTCTGTATCAACCTACCTACCTCTCTCCTTTGATTGCAATGTATAAATACAAATGTAACCCCGCCATTCTCCAGAGCATTATCTCAATTCATTGAGGTTCTGCTTCCGGGCATATGTTGACAATTTGGCTCAAATAAACTCACAAAATATCTTTACAGGTTTCAGTGGTTTTTTTTACGTTAACACTTCTCATTAAGATCCTCTTGCACATTACTCTTGTCCCTCTTTAGGTCAATGGTGTCATTGTTCAGGGCATCTAGCTCCTTAATAGCAGAGAAATCTGTAGCAGGACTGGATCCTATGACACTTTTGTACACGGGTCCTACTGGTGGTAGAAGCATCTCAGGAGTAAAAATGTGATGATCAATGCCCATTATTTTCTTCTCATTGACTTAGTGAAAAGCCAAGGCAAACATATCCTCTGAAAGCTTCCCACAGGGTCACGTAGCACCCATAGGTAGGCTAGTCAGGTAGAAGATAGAAAGATCTCACAAACTTTTTTTTAAAGCATTTTTAAAAAAAATATTTTATTGATTTCTTACAGAGAGGAAGGGAGAGGAACAGAGAGCTAGAAACATTGATGAGAGAAACATCGACCAGCGGCTTCCTGCACACTCCCCACCGAGGATGTGCCCGCAACCAAGGTACATGCCCTTGACCAGAATCGAACCTGGGACCCTTGAGTCCGCAGGCTGACCCTCTATCCACTGAGCCAAACCGGTTAGGACAACAAACTTTTAATCCAGACACAAACTCATCCATGTCCTTATCAGTTTCCAGGATGATGTCATCCTCTTCCTGACCCTGTGGCCATGTCAGATCCAACCCTCTTAGCAGGAGGCACAAGGCTGGAGGCCAGGACATGGGCACAGGTGGTTGCTCCAATGTGCCCTTTACCAAGCACATGGCACCTGCAGATTCAACCCGTGAGCATCGCACCAGGGCCAGCACCACTCAGCTCCCAAACACTTCCAAGGGCAGCCACAGGCAGCTTAGAGGTGAGCGTCTTTGGTTGCCCTTTATCACAGGCAGAAATCCACATACAGGGCTTAAAATGATCAAAAATGGCACCATGTCTGGCCTTGTCTTCAGATTTTACAGCCCACGGGACCCCGTTGCAGAGGGCCCAGTGTCCAGCAAGGGACTATGGGTGTGGTGAAGTCTTGGTGGAGGAACAGCCTGGTTCAAGTTCCTCAGAGACACCTGCAATGCATTCTGGGTACATGCACAAGGCACAGAGCAATGAACAATTCCCATTTGCTCAGGACAACTTTGCCTTCTGGGACAGCGAAATCCCAAACCAGAGGTCCTCAAACTTTTTAAACAGGGGGCCAGTTCACTGTCCCTCAGACCGTTGGAGGGCCGTACTATAGTTAAAAAAAAAAAAACTATGAACAAATTCCTATGCACACTGCGGCGGCAAAAACACCCGGCGGGCCGGATAAATGTTTTCGGCGCTCTGCATGTGGCCCGCGGGTTGTAGTTTGAGGACAGCTGTCCCAAACCTTTCCCAGTGTCAGATCTGGGGGCCTGATATGTTCAGGAAATCAGCAGCATCAACAGCCAGTACCCTCAGGGATGGCCCGCACCACCCTGTCTGTAGCAATTTCTACATGAAGGGGTCCCACCTGATGACTGTGTCCAGGAGAGCTGGGCCAGCACAGCCATGGTGCCCCCATCCTGCAGGGGAAGAGAAGGAAGGACAGGCAGGCAGAGGTGGGGTGGGGAGAAAGGAGCATGATCATGAAAGACAAGCCCTTCCTTCCTCTCACCATCTGGGATTTCCCATCATGTCCATTCCTATTGGACGCTCCCCTCCCATGTTCCTGCTTCTCCAGAGAGTCCCTCCCAGGCCTGTCCTGATGTTCAGGACGCAAAGAGGTGGAGAATTGGATCTGCCCTGCCCCATGCTGTCCTCTCTCCCTAAGTAAGCATCTGACTGTGATGTGCCCAGCAGGGCCCACTGCAAAGGAGAGCCTCACACTCACCCCTGGACAGACACCCACACCTGGCTAGAATAGATTGAATTCGTTTCACTCACACACAGGGGGTGTGGCTCGGTGCTGACCATGGGCTGGGTCCATGGATAGAGAGACCCCAGTGCCTGTATCCAAAGCATATGGAGGGGCAAACCTGCTCCAACTTTCACCTTGAATCCTTTCCCGTCCCTGTGTGTGGCCACCCTGGATCCCTCTCTTGTCCACACAGAGGTGGGAAACCACACTGATGACTTCTGGCTGCACCCAGGCACAGTAGCCACTCAACTTTGGCCCCTGTCATCTGTTCTGCTTCCCTCTCCATCTGGGGAACTTCCACTTCCCTTTTTGGCATTGAGGATGGCCACATGGTTCAGAAACAGTGTGCATAGCCTTTCTCAGCATCAGGAGAAGATGGGGATTTGTACATGGGTATAGCATCCAATTCTTGTGGAGTTCTGAACAACACCACTCAGGGCTCTCCTCACAGGGCTTAGTCAGGTGTGGAAATAAACCAGGATGGCTCCCTCCAGGTCCCCGCGGCACCGACCCCACAACCACTCTAAGGAGTTGTGTTCTTGACAACGTGCTGCATGAGAAGAAACTGAGACTCAAGAGATTGTACGTTGAGGGTGAAGGTCACACACCTAATGGACAATGGAGTTTTTACATAAGTATGAGCCAGCTGGCATAGCTCAGTAGTTGTGCATCATTATATGAACTAGGAGGTGAAGGTTTGATTCTTGGTCAGGGCACATGCCCAGGTTTGGGGTTTGATCTCCCATGTGGTGCATTCAGGGTGCAGCCAATCAGTCATTCTCTCTCATCATTGATGTTCCTCTCTCCCTCTTCCTTCCTCTCTGAAATCAATAAAGAAATATGTATGTATTTTTTTCAAACTTGTTGGGGGAAAAAAGGAAGAAGAAAAGTATGAGTGGCACTCCTGCCGCTGGATATGGGGCCCGCTGGGAGCAGGACTCCTATGAACACAAATATGTGTGGAAGCTGTGGTTCAGACCAGCTCTGCCGGTTGCAGGCAGGGTCTCTGGGACCAGAGGGAGCTCACAGCTGTCCTTAAACCTGAAGGTGTGTGCACAAGAGATGAAACTGAACTCTGTCGGGGTTACTGATGTGCTCTGTGTTCAAAGCAGAGAGCAACACAGTGACTCCTGGTGGCAAAGGGCACAAATCCACAGTCACCTGGGGAGAGGGAATTCGTGCTCATGGAGACAGTGGAGGGTTCGTGCCAAATTCCAGAGCAACCGTCCTGCTAAGTCCATTGGACACGGTATCCGTGTAATCTTGTAACCCTCCAGGAGATAAAATCATTGAAAAGTAAATAAATTACAGTGGATGTTCTCTTGTAAAAAAAGAAATGCAAAAAAACCACCTGATTCAGACATTACTGCTCAGTTCACACCAGTAGCAGGTGGGACACAAATATTTAATTAAGAAAATTTTTTATCAGCAAATCAAAGCTCTAGACCAAATGACAGGTTCTTAATGTCTAGGACAAGCCATGGTCCCTGGGGGACAGCTCTGCCCAAGGAACGAGGGGCCCTGAGGGGGTAAATGACACTGAGGTTGTTCCCAGGGGGGAGGGGCTGGGGGCTGTGGTTGAGAAAAAGGGAAGTTCATGAAGAAACACCTGATAGAAAGAAAACCCAGATTCTGGGGCCACAGAAGGGACCTGTTTCCTTCCCTTATTTCCCTGCATTTCCCTCTGTGCTCACTGTCACAGGGACATCGCCCTGAGCTGCACAGTTGGAGGGTGAGTGTGTCCCTGCTGATCTGAGCTCTGCAGGCCACAGGGACCCACGTCTTCCTGAAGCTTCTCCAGGCCCTCGTGGCACTGTCCATGGTGAGGACCACAGGGTGGTGCTGATGGACGGGCTGAGGAGGAAGGAGACCCCGTGGGGGAGGCTCTGACAGGGAAGGATGTGCCCTGGGTCACTTCACCTGCAAGGGGCATCTCAGGAGGCTCCGGGTCTATTTCCTGCTTCACCATGGAAATGAGAGCAAGGCTGCTAGAGAGGCTGTGCCCTCGCCTATAGGCTGCTGACTTGACAAACTGGTGAAAGGCAGGGCCGGACTCCAAGTGACCGCCACCTGTGCTTCTGTCTATCAATCCCGCTGGCCCCGTGCCTCCTCCATCTGCTCAACTGAGGTCTCTGAAGAAGACAACATGACCCCCACCCTCAGGGCCCTGCTCTGCCTCGGTGAGATGGGAGGAGGAGTGGAACACTGGTGTCAGGACCCCAGGACCCAGGAGGCTCATGGGGAGGAGGGGGCTGCTCAGGGTTCAGGGCAAATCTCTCACAGGGACTCTCTTCCAGGGCTGAGTGTGGGCCTCAGGACCCCAGTGCAGGCAGGTGAGTCACCCAGGTGTCCCAGGCCCCACTTCTAACTGGGGACAAGGGCCACCCCCAGGCACAAGGGGCAGGACCTTTCTCACTGACGGGGGTTATCGGGCACTGAGAGCTGGGACCAGGGGTGGGAATGGCCTGTGACCCAACCTCTGATTCCTTCCAGGGCCCCTCCCCAAGCCCACCCTCTGGGCTGAGCCAGGCCCTGTGATCCCCCAGGGGAGCCCCATGACCATCACCTGTCAGGGGACCCCAGGGGCTGAGGAGTACCATCTAGGAAAAGAGGGAAACCAAGCACCATGGAAAACACGGAATCCACAGGAGCCTGGGGACAAGGCCAACTTCTTCATCACACACATGACAGAGCGTCATGCAGGGATATATCGTTGTTACTATCACAGTCCCACTGGCTGGTCAGAGCGCAGTGACCCCCTGGAGCTGGTGGTGACAGGTGAGAGGACACTCAGGGGTCCCAGCCTCAGGCTCTGCCCTCAGGAAGGGGGTCTGCTCTCAGGGTGTCTCCCTCTCACAGCCCAGCCCTGGGGGACGCAAGAGGGTGTGAGCCCATTTAACACCCTGCCTCCTCCTCTCCTAGGATCCTACAGGAAACCCAGCCTCTCAGCTCTTCCCAGCCCTGTCATGACCTCAGGACAGAATGTGACCCTCCAGTGTGGATCACGGCAGGGATTTGGCAGGTTCCTTCTGACTAAGGAAGGAGATCACAGGCTCTCCTGGACCCTGGACTCACAGCAACAGCCCAGTGGGAAGTCCCAGGCCCTGTTCCCTGTGGGCCCCGTGACCCCCAGCCACAGGTGGACGTTCAGATGCTATGGCTGTTACAGGGACAGACCCCAGGTGTGCTCACACCCCAGTGATGACCTGGTGCTCCTGGTTCCAGGTGAGGGTCCTTGACCCTGTCTGCTGAGCTGTCACCTCAGGGTCCTGTCCCCAGAAGAATAATGGCCTGAAAGGGAGGGAGGGGCTCTAGGGATGGTCACTCATAGGAGGTCAGACCCTAATAGAACCCTCTCCCTCCCCCCCCCTCAGCACCCCTCCCCTTCACCTGATCCAGAAGGTGACAGGTGGGCAGTGGGAGGGACTTAGTGAGGACTCTGTGGAGGGGGAGGCCAGGGTCAACCCCTGACTCTCCCCCTCTTGCTGTCCTTCTCAGAACCCAGGGGCCCTAGGACCCCATCCAGAGCGTGCTCTCTGCTCAGAGGGAGACAGCTCCTCTGTGCAGTTCTGAGTCTGAGGGCCTAATGCCCCCCATGCACTAAGGGCAGGCTGTGTCCTAAGGCTGCTAAGAGCTGGGGACAGATTTCAGGGAACCAAGGACCCCAGGGGCTCTGAGTATCAGTCTCCCCCCCCCCCCAGGGAGTCAGGCCACAGAGGGGCAAGTGTGGGTGTTTGTGGGGAGGTGGTAGGTGCCTCCATGGGGACAGGGGCTGAGCCATGTGATGGTTCTGGAACCTCTGAAGTCTCTACCTTGGACTCACCACCCCACCCCCGCCTAGGCCTCAGTGTCTCCAACTGTAAAAGGAGAGAATCCTTGTCCAGAGCTGAGATTTCCTGTGGATTCTGGCCCTGACCTCCTCAAGTGTGGGTGTTTGTGGGGAGGTGGTAGGTGCCTCCATGGGGACAGGGGCTGAGCCATGTGATGGTTCTGGAACCTCTGAAGTCTCTACCTTGGACTCACCACCCCACCCCCGCCTAGGCCTCAGTGTCTCCAACTGTAAAAGGAGAGAATCCTTGTCCAGAGCTGAGATTTCCTGTGGATTCTGGCCCTGACCTCCTGGGAGAGGGGCCTCACAGGGAAGCCCCCAGGACGTGATGTTATGGGGCCTGTCCCCTCTGTCTCAGTGACGGTGACACTGTACAGGGAGGGACAGGCAGGAAAAGGGTCTGGGCACCCAGTCCCACCCCTCAGCTCAGGTTCAGCTCAGAGGAGGGAACAGGATGGATCAGCCCTGGCTCAGCTCCTGGCTCTGCTGCTCCTGCTGTGGGGCTGGGAGGTCCCTTCTCTCCTCTGAGTGTTGGGTTCTTGTCTGCTCATCCCTGGTCCCATCCTGCTCACAGGCTGCTGGGAGATGAGGTGACATAAGGGCCTCACAGAGCTCAGGAAGGCAGAGCCCCCAGCCCAGCTCAGCCTGACCTTCCTAAGAGGGGCTTCAGACCCCTGTGGGTGGGGATGGATCTGGAAGAGACTCAGAATCCAACCCACACCCTGCCCCCCCTGTCCCTGCTGTGCTGGGGGCGGGTAATGAGGAAGGAATCTCAGCTCCAGATGAGACGTGGACAGGCCCCTGCACAGGAGGAGCCCAGAACACGAAGCTAGTGTCCCCCTGGGAGGCATTGTGAGGACAGCACAAGGAACCCACAGTCCTGGGTTCCAGTACCAGCCCTGCCCCGTGCAGGCAGGGTGACCTGGAGCATTTGGTTAACCTCTTTAAGCCTCATTGAAGTGGGTGGTGGGGTCAGCAATCCCTGGGGCATGAGGTGAGAGGACATGACTGACGGACCGCAGCATGTGCCTCACACAGAGTAGGTGCTCATTAAATGGCATCCTTGGCTCATTCATGACATCATGAGGGGATGAGGGCTCCCCAGGACCTTTCATGTCTGATTCCTTTCCAGGAGACGTCCCCAAACCCTCCATCTGGGCTGACCCAGGACCCATCGTCACCAAGGGGAGCCCCGTGACCATCTGGTGTCAGGGGTCTCTGCAGGCTAGTGCCTACGTTCTGTATAAAGAGAGGGGCTCTGAGCCCTTCGATACGAGAATCCCACAGAACTCCAGCAACAAGGCCAATTTCCTAATTGAAGCCACAACCCAATCCCTCGCAGGGCTGTACCAGTGTGCATATTACAGCACTGGGGACATACTCTCAGAGCTGAGTGACCCCCTGCTCCTGGTGGTGACAGGTAAGGGAGACACCGGGTCCCCTCCCCACTATGGGCTCCAGGTCACAGGCAGAGGGAGTACAGTGTGGCCTCAGGGGACCCCACCCCTCACAGAACACACCTGGGGCATGAGGGTAATGGTCCCTTTAACACAGACCCTTTCTCCTCCCTCAGGAGTGAGCGGTGCACCCTCCCTCTCAGCCCAGCCAAGTCCTGTGGTGGCCTCAGGAGGGAACGTGTCCCTGTCCTGTAGCTCTAACATCACATCGGGCCATTTCCATCTGCTGAAGGAGGGAGGGGCTGACCCGCCTCAACGTATGAAAGCAAAATGGAGTATCCATGCTCGGATGTGGCAAGCCATCTTCCCTCTGGGCCCCGTGAGCCCCTCCCATGGAGGGACCTACAGATGCTATGGTTCTTCCAGCTTCTATCCCAACGTGTGGTCACAGCCCAGTGCCCCTCTGCACATCGAGGTCACAGGTGAGGGACGGGCCCTGGTGCAACCCCGTGTGTTTCCTGGGCCCAAAATGATGGTGCTGTGTATCCATTGGGGCCCTAAGGTCAAGGGGTTAGTGACACTGGCCTCTTGATGTTTGTGTGCCTGTGAATGTGTGTGCATGTGTGTGTGTATTGTGTGTGTGTGTTTATGCGTGTGCCTCCGTTGTGTGTTTGTGTCTGAGTCTCCTCCATAGCCTGCCACTGTCCCTCGTCCCAGGTGTGCACAGGGAGCCCGCCCTCTTGGCCCAGCCAGGCTCGCTGGTGCTGCCTGGACACAGCCTGACCCTCCGGTGCCACGCGGAGGCCGGCTTTGACACATTCGCTCTGACCAAGGACGAGGGGCTCACACACCCCCAGCGCCTCAATGGGCAGCACAGCCCCCACTTCCCCCTGGACCATGTGACCCCCACCGACGGGGGCAGCTACAGATGCTACAGTGGACACAGCCTCTCCTCTGTGTGGTCGGCCCCCAGTGCCCCCCTGGACATTCTGGTGGCAGGAGGGGAGCCAGCCCTGCCCCTGTCCTGAGGGTCTGCTCAGGGCTCTGGGCCCAGGGTCACCTGAGGATGATGGGGTCCAGGAGAGGGCCCTGGAGCAGAGGCTGAGCTGGGCAGAGGCCTAGGGGAGGGAAGAAGAAAGACGGTGAGGTCATGGAGATAAAAGACAGGCCTCCAGGGGGACTTACAGGAGCTGAGAGGGGGTCACAGAGTCTCTGGAGAAGGACAAGGTCCCTCAGCTCAGGGTCAAGGGCATGAGGGGAGGGGTGGCTCTCTACACATCACAACCTTCCTCTCCCCAGGAATGTACAGGAAACCCTCCCTCTCAGCACATCCAGGACCCTCAGTGGACAGGGGAGTGACCGTGACCCTGCAGTGTGAGGCTGAGATCTGGTTTGACACCTTCCACCTGCACAGGGAGGGGTCACTGGACCCTCCCCAGAACCTTCATCTGCAGGACACGTATGCACCCTCTCAGGCCACCTTCACCCTCAGTCCTGTGACCTCAGGCCACCAGGGGACCTACAGGTGCTATGGCTCACACAGCACCTCCCCCTACCTGCTCTCACACCCCAGTGACCCCCTGGAGCTGGTGGTCTCAGGTGAGGCGCCCCAGACCCACCCCGGTGTCCTCAGGTGAGTTCAGGGCCCTGTCCCCAGGGGACCTTGGGCTGCAATGGGTTGAGGGAGTACCCGGTGGAGGGCCACCCAGAGGAAACTCTCATCTCCCAGAGGGATGAGAAAAGCCAGAGCCGCTCCCATCCCTGCCTCATCCTCATCCTCATCACTGAAACCCAGACATGCTCCCGTGGGAAGAGGGAGGCTGGCGAGGATGGGGCTGACCAGAAGGAGAAAGGCCAGAGTCGCCCAGTCCTACCCTCCAGTCTCCAGTCCTGTGGCCTCAGCCAGAGAGACCAAGACAGGAGTGTGACCAGCAGAGGCCATATCCCCAGAGAGAGCAGGACCCCCTGCTGGGGCCTGGCCTGTCTCCCATGTAATTGGGGGGGCGGAGATGCTCGGGGCACCAGGACTCTGAGACTGACAGGTGGGTGGTCATGGCAGAGGGAGATGCTGGGGGACCACCAGGGGAGGAGCAGCCCCCACCCCTCACCTCCCATCCTGATTGAGGAGCCTCTGAGGATTGGTCCCCCAACGGGAAGTCAGGCCCACAGAGGACTAAGTGAGGGTCTGGGAGGTGGTGGGTGGAAGGAGCTCAGTGTTGGTCTTGGCTCAGCCACTTCCTGGTTAATGGCCTGAGGAATGTTCCTCCTTCTCACTGGGACCAAGTTCTCCAAAGGCTGCTAGGACACTATGTGTGCAAGTGTGTGTGTGTTTGTGTGTGTGTGTGTGTGCACATGTCTATGTGTCTGTGTGTATGTGTGCCTGTCTCTGTGTGTCTGTGCCTATGTGTGTGTGTGCATGTTTGTTTATGTGTGTGCCTCCATGTGTTTGTCTGCCTGCGAATGTGTGTGCATGTGTGTGTATTGTGTGTGTGTTTGTTTATGCGTGTGCCTCCCTTGTGTGTTTGTGTGTGCCTGTGTGCGTGCATGTGTGTGCGTGCGTGTGTGTGCGTGTGTGCGCGCGCGCGGACGTGTGTGTGTGTGTGTGTGTGTGTGTGTGTGTGTGTGTGTGTGTGTGTTGGGAAACTCAGGTGGGTCTGAGTCTCCTCCACAGCCTTCCAAAGAGCAGCCGTGGAGTCAGGAGAAGCAGCCTCTGCCCTGGTTCAAATCCCAGCTCTGCTCCTTCCCGCCTAGACACGTCTGTTCCTCCGAGTCCTGGTCCATGGGCTGTGGGTCAGGTCCCCACCTCCCCCAAAGGAAAGGCCCTCAGCACACAGCCCGGCCCTGGTTAGAGCTCAGGAAGGACCCAGCCCTCCCTCCTGCCCTTCCCGGAGGCGCCCCACGTGCACAGGCCCCACTATGGGGCGGGGGGTTTAGGCGGCAGAGTGGGACAGGGATGTGGGCTGGGATGGAGAGGGGTGGGTCTACCTGCAGGTCCAGGGACAGCATGGATAATAATAATAATCCTATATAATAAAGAGCTAATTAGGCCAAACAGTAGAACGACCATCTGGACATCCTTCTGGATGACCTTCCAGACGAAGCTAGTGCTGTGAGTGCTTAGCACTTTGCACCAATTTCATGCATCGGGCATGTAGTGATAATAATAACAATAATAGTAATAATGCCTTGACCAGTTTTGCTCTGTCGTTTAGAGCATCAGCCCTCGGATTATAGGGTTGCAGGTTTGGTCCCTGGTCAAGGGCACATACCTTAGTTGCAGACTTGATCCCCGAACTTGGTCAGGGCACAAGCAGGAGGCAACCAGTCAGTTTGTCTCTCTCACATCAATGTCTCTCTCTCTCTCTCTCTCTCTCTCTCTTTCTCTCTCTTTCTCCCCCTCCTCCCTGACTTCCAATCTCTCTAAAGATCAATGGAAAAAATATCCTTGGGTGAGAATTAAAACAATAATAACAGTAAAAAAAACACACAAGGGATCCCCCTGTCCCAGGTTCCAGTTCCAGCCCTGCCCCATCCAGGCTGGGTGACCTGGGGCTTCTGATTAGCTTCTCTGAGCCTCAGTGAAATGAGTAGTGGGATGAGCAATCCCTGACGCATGTCTATTTTGAAGTTAGAAGAGATGAATGACAGACCCCAGCATGTGCCTCACACACAGTAGGTGCTCATTTATTACGTCATTGGCTCATTCATGACATCACTTGTGTTCAAGATCTCGAATGGAAACTGATCATTCTGATTGGGGTCTCGGTGGCCCTCATCCTGCTGCTCTCCCTCCTTCTCTTCCTCTTCCTCCGCTTCCGGCGTCAGAGCAAAGGCAGTACATCAGGTGAGTAGGGGTGACCTGGGTCACAGGAGGGGAGCTCAGAGCACCTGCCACAGGAAAACCAAACAGCTGGAGAAGGTCAGCTGAGTGGATTTCTCCAGAACCTCAAATCAGGAAATGTGGAGCCCAGCTTGTTTGGCTCAGTCAATAGAGCATCGGCCTGTCCCAAAGGCCCCAGGCTTTCACTGACCTTGACTCCTCCTGCCCCTAACTCTCCTGTCTCCTCCCCCAGCTGCAGCCCAGCAGGAGCCCCTCTGTGAGAGGAAGAGACAGCTGTCCTGGGGGAGGGGGCACAGGGATTTCGGGAGGGGATGGCGAGGGTTAGGCTGGGACGGTGTAGGTCAGGGTGGGAAGGACTCAGATGCGAACTGTGTGACGTGGCGATTCACCTCACCCTGGGTTAATGGCCCATCTGGGAGCAGGCAGGGTCTGCAGCCCTGAGATCTCAGGGACCTGCAAGGAAACACCCCCCTGTTCTGCCCCAGCAGATGCTGCCATGAAGGACCCGCAGCCTGGAAAGAGCGTGGAGCTGGATCCTTGGGTGAGACCCCTGCTCCTGTCCAGGCCACCGAGGACCTTCTGTTGCCAGTTTAATCCAATGGACCCTTCCCTGTCCCCACCTCACCTGCTTCTCAGCAGCGTCCACACTGACCTCCCCTCTGGGCACCCAGGTCGTCCTGCTGTGACTCATTCCTCCTGGTTTCCTTGTGACCTCATGGCCTCTCCTACCTGGCCCCCTTTGCTAGCCCCTCATCCTCTTTCTGACCTTGAGCAGCCCCAGGTCTCAGGAGGAGGCAGGAATGAGTGACTCACCCACAGGTCCCCAGGATCCCCTTCATTCATTCACCCAGCACATGTGATGGGCTCAATAGTTACCGGCTCCATTATGGGCCATGGTGCAGCCCTGAGCCACACTGTCTCCACACGCCTCGAGCTCACCTGTGGGCGAGGGAGACAATATGCAAACAAGCAGACAGTGTCCCAGAGAGTAAAGAGCTGTGAAGGAACATAAAGCAAGAGGAGGGTATAGAATGCATGGCGGGGGGACGGGGAAAGAGCGGGTCCAATGTTCCTGAGGCAGGACATGCTTCTTCAGGAGGATGGACCATGAGGCTGGAGCCAGGAGAGCAAGAGAGAGCACATTAGGATAAGAGTCAGAATCACAGAAGCATCCAGATGCCCCAAGTCTTAGGAATGCCCTGTAGATTCCATTAGAAGAGGGACCTGATCTATTTAACGTGTAAGTGATTTCTCTGACAACATGAGGATACATGACAGGAGGCACTGTCTCCAGCAGAATGGGCAGGATGAAGACCCCCAGGGAGTGACGTACGCCCAGGTGAACCACTCAACACCAACACCCAGGCAGGGAATGGCCACCTCTCCTTACTCCCTGTCGGAGGAATTGCTGGACACAAAGGGCAGACAAGCAGAAGAGGACAGACAGGTGGACAGTCTGGTGAGTCCGATTCTCTGCAGACCTCCAGGTTTCCCCAACCCCAACCAGGTGTCATCCCTCTCTCTCCCCCTGCTCCAGGCTGCACCTGATGACCCCCAGGATGTGACCTATGCCCAGCTGAACCTCTTGGCCCTTAGACGGCAGACAAGTGCACCCCCTTCCTCCCCATCAGAGGAGCCCCCAGAAGAGCCCAGCTTGTACGCTGCTCTAGCCATCCACTAGCCCAGGAAGGACCCAGACCACACGCTCCAGGGAGGGGGCCTGCAGGGACCCCAGAAAGCATAGGTACTTCCCCATGGACACTCAGCTAGTGACCCTAGCCTGTCTGGAGACCAGACCTGCTCCCCCGGCAGTTCCTGGCACCCTCTGGGAGTCACTTTGTTCTATAAGCAATATGCCTACTTTTTGGAATCAAAGCAAGACTTCTCAATAATCAATGTGTGAATTTAGAACAAAACAGAAGTGAAAGAATGTTTTAAATGAATGACAATGTAAATATCATACATCAAACCTATGGAATGGAACATAGAAACAACATAAATGTCCTTGAACTGATAATGGGATAAAGATGTGGTAACTATACAAACAGAATGTTTCTCAGCCATAAAACATGAAATACTGCCATTACCACAACATGGATGGATCTGCAGAGTATCACGCTAAGTGAAGAAAGTCAGAAAGAAAAGTACAAGAGCCGTATAATTTCACTCATGTGTGTGAAATATGAACCTGAAGTATCATGTATGTTAAATACATTGAATCTCTAATTAAAACTTTCCTGCAGCCCTAGCCGGTTTGGCTCAGTGGATACAGCATTGGCCTGTGGACTTGAGTTCAATTCTGGTCAAGGGCACGTGCCTGGGTTGCAGGCGTGATCTCCAGTGGGAAGCTTGCAGGAGGCAGCTGATTGGTGATTCTCTCTCATCATTGATGTTTCTCTCTCTCTCTCCCTCTCCTTTCCTCTCTGAAATCAAAATATACATGGACATATACACAAACATACACGGACATATACATGGGCACACATGGCCATACACACCAACATACACACACACATGGACATATACATGGACACACACATAAACACACACACACACAAAATCTAAAATAGTATAAAGATCTATTATTCTAATTTGAAAAGAATGTACCCAATGTCATTGGATACATCATTAATATCTAAAAACCAATTGCATTTCAGACCAAGGAGAAGCAAACCTATGTCTTCCTCACCCCCGATACAGCACAGCAAAACTCCTAGTCAGCCCTCTGATACAAGGGTTTGTTTCGCTCCTGGCCTCTGGCCTCTCTCCTTCCCAAGGGGTCTGCCTCTCGGCGGGCTGTCCAGAGAAGGAAGGGGGATGGGGGAGAAACCGCTCATGGAGCCAATGGCGGCAATGGCGTCCATTCCTTCCTTTCGCGCCTGGCACAGGGACCATTGCCTCTTCGCAAGACCCTGCAAGGACCTTCGTCCCGGGCTGAAACGGGGAAATGGGGGTGGGTGGCGGCGGACGAGGCCCCTTTCCCAGGGGGGCCGAGGGCCGGCTCCCTCCTCCCCATTTTTTCCTCTCCCTTCTATGAGCCCGGTTGACCAGCACTCCCAAAACAGCCTCCACAGGGGGGCCACAGGGACTGATGGTTGCGCAGTAGCTCTGGTCAACCAGATGGCCGGGCCAGACTTTGTCTCGGTAAGGATTATGAGAGATGGGTCTACCAGATAGTCGGCCTGAACTTAGTCTCGGGCAGCAGTGGGGACTGTGAGAGACGGGGTCAACCAGATAGCTGGCCCGGACTTAGTCTCCTATGGCAGTAGGACTTCGAGTGATGGGGTCAACCAGATGGCCCGGCCCAGATTTTGTCTCTGGCTGTGGATTAGAGTCATCAGGTTGACCCGTTGTCTGTGGAGATGAGAGATTGAAGACAAGGGACTGGTGACTGAGGGAAGGAGGGGGAAGGCCAGGGGAGGGACATGGGGAGGGGGCGGGG